TCACTCAACTCTTTTAGCCGTCAGGACATCTGTATTTATGTTGTTTTCTTAAATCAAATTTTCCCAACAATTGGTCTTTCATTGTCAGCCAGACGTGTATCAGGGCCTGTGATGGTGCCACAGACCCACCTGAATTACCAGCTTCTCTTATCAGTTGCAGACCTGCCACTGGCAGCAGAACCAGTGGATTTAAATGCATAATATGGAATAGGAAGTGCTGACTGCAACTGTGTCTAATTTCAAATTGCAGCAGGTAAGAGAACCCTTCCTAAGGATAATGAGTGTAAACACAGAATCTAAAACTAAGTAGCAAAAAAGGTACACTGGGGCCAATATAATTTAATTGGAATGCTTAGATGCCTATCAGACGTATTATGACTTTTTCTTACAGCAGAATGAAGTTTATTTTAACTACTGGACCCCACACATTCAACGAGGCTATGACTTATGTAATTTTATGGCATTTGTTACAGCAATAATTTAGTTTTCATGATTCAAAAGAAATTTTACTTCATATTCATCTTTTTCATGAAAGGAATTCAAATATTCTTCCCTTCTATCTCATATAATTTAGAAATATGAATTCAATACTAATACAACTACCATGAGCTAGATAAAATGCAATGTCCTTAGAGAGCCCTGCTGTGGAAGATAAACCTAGATCTGGATCTCTAAAAACTACCCGCTTTGGCCTGTCTTACCTTAGCTAATAAGAAAAAATTTGATTCTAGATACTATACAACCTTGTATTCTTGTAACTTAGATTGTACATTCTCTTAAATTATCTTATAAATGATCAGTTGAATGATACAATGAACTATATGTATATGACAGAATTAGACATAAAAATTTATCTTGATTGCCTATCATATAAGCTTCTACCACTGAAAACAAGTATTTTACAACTTTGGGTTCCATACCACAAACTTTGCAGTTGAGGTTACTTTTATGCAAAGATTATGGTATGTGTCATAGCGCCTATCTGTAAGCAAAGAGACAAAACAAGAGAATTGTTAAAGACCATAATATAACTTACAACAAAACTGAGGAAGAAAAATTAATGGGTTTTCAAACTAAATAAACCACTTCCTCTCTAAATTTAGCACTGAAACCATCCTGTAGTTTTTTATTTTTATTTTTTAGAGACAAGGTCTCACTCAGCCACCATCATAGCTTCTGGAGCCTTAACCTCCTAGATTCAAGCAATCCTCTCATCTCAGCCTCCCAAGTAGCTAGGACCACAGGAACATGCCACCACGCCCAGTTAATTTTTAAATTTTGTGTAGAGATAGGGTCTCACTATGTTGTCCAGACTGGTCTTAAACTCCTGGCCTCAAGCAATTCTCTTGCCTCAGCTTCCCAAAGTGCTGAGATGACAGGTGTGAGCCACCATGCCTGGCTGTAGGTTTTTATTTTACAAAGATTTGAGTATATTCCTTAAAAAAAAAAGTAATTCCCATTACCTTAGTAGAAATAAGCTGCTAATCTGGCCTCTCAAACAGAGCAATTCCACAGACCAGCAGAGTGCTTCCCAAACTGGGCTGATCACTAGATCTAAAAAATATACCTCCCAGAGGTATTCAGTATTTTGAAGCAGTAGGACTGAAATGAATCTCAGAATTCTGTTGCAGTTTTTTAAGCTCCCTAATGATTCTGATGATTAGCCAGATTTTAGAATAACTGGACTGTATATTACTACCTAATTCCAGAGTCTACCTGGAGCAAGTTACTTCAGAGGTCTATTCTCAACTTTAGTTCTGAGATAAGTACTGCCTGCTCATTCTTATAGCATGTTGTGCTGCAAAGGGCATTGTGACAGTCCTCAAATAAGCCCTGTTCTCTCCGTATCCCGTACTTTTGCTTCCCACATCTCACCTGACTCTTGTTCATAAGGTAGCAGCTAAGACACTACTTCCTCAGGAAGCATCTCTGACCAGCCAACTCTGACAGGCCCAGGAATCTACTTATACAGTTCCAAAGAATTCTAGGTACACATGTTAATAACATTTATAAAGCTCTTACTCTGTCCCAGGCACTGTTCTAACTAAGCTCTTTGTGCACATTAACTCACTTAATCCTCCTCAAAACTTTATAATGGGGACACCATTGTCACCTTTATTTTAGAAATGAGGAACAAAGAGACAGGTTATAAAGCATGACAAAAGTTGTGCAACAGTGTGAAAAGCAGAACTTGACCCCAGGCGATCCAGCTCCAGAACCCATGCTACTGACCTCTGTGCTATTTTACCTCTTCAAAGACGTTCAGTCTTTATCACTTATCTGCTTCTAGTTTTTTCTTGGCATCCCTCTTTCCCACGAGACTATATGCTCTGTGAGGGCAGAAACCCTGTTTTCTTCCTCAGTGAATCCCCATTGCCTAGTGGACAGCGGATATTCAAGTAATATCTGACTCACTGGCAATGTAGCTCTCAACAGCCAAAATGAACTTGCATATGTTTTGAAAAATCTAGTAAGATGGAGAACAGTTTTCACCCATGGCTCCTGGCTCATAACCCCCACAACCCTTGTTAGCAGTCTTCTGTTACAGTGTTGGGTGCATTAGGCCTCAGGGGCAGGCCTCTGGAAACAGAATCTCTCCCACCTTCTCCTGCCCTCCTTCAACGTGTCTCAAGGAAGGGATCTGATCTTCTTCCACCTCTTGGACTGTGGATCTTATAACTTTCCCCTGAGAGGATCTGGCCCTACACACTGGGGGAAGAAGTGCTGATGTCACGGAGCTTTCATAAAAACCCAAGAGAACTAGGTTCGGGGAGCTTTCTGATAGCTGAATATGTGGAGGAAGGTCCATGCTCCTCCCCCCACACCTCATCTCCATCTGTATCCTTTGCAATATTCTTTATAAGAAGCTGGTAAACATGTTTCACAGAGTCCTGTGAGCCACTCTCCCAAATCAGTCAAACCCAAGGAGAGTATCATGGGAATCTCAACTTGAAGCTGAAGCTGACTGGTCCGAAGTTCTGGAGGCCTGGACTTGGAACTTGTATCTGGCAGTGAGTGGGTACTCTTGTGGGACTGAGCCCTCCTACTACTGTGGGATCTGACACTGTGTTCAGGAAGACAGTTTGGAGAATGAATTGGAGGACACCCACGTACGTGGTGACTTGGTGTCTGCTGCTTGGTGGTGGGGAGAAACCACCACATGTGGTCACAGAAGCCTTCTTCTATGTATTGACTATTGTGGTGTGAGAGAGAGGGAAAAGCTCTGGGAGAGCCATCCTTAAAGGAGATGGTTACTCCCATATCTTACACAGTAAAAATCAAAAACATTTTTGTGTTTGGCTGTGTAGACATTCAGCTATATGAAAGAATACACAAGTGCTCTAGGAAATGTATGAAAACAAGTAGTAAAGCAAAGACTGCTCAGTAGCTCATCTGCTTACTAATGCCCTGTACATAGCTCAGTAAAAAAATGTTCTTGTGTCCTTTGAAATGGCTAAGGCACACTGAGTAAGTTTCAGAGCCTGCCCTATACTATACTATGACTTCTTCCAATATTTTTGCAAGTAGAAGAGAAACATTAAATCTTTTAAAATTTATTAAGTAGGCTAGTATTTTGATAAACCAACCTTCTAGTGAGTTCCCCAAATCATAAAAGCTGGCAGAAAACAGCTTTACTTTATCCATTTCCCAGGAAAAGTTTTTAAAGCTTGCCTTGTTTTGTTTTAAAGGACATATTTTTTAACTTACAGTTCTAGGACTTGATTTTCATCAAATCCCTTCTGATTTATTTTAAGCCTTAAATGTACAGTCAATCCAGTGAATACTGGCCCCTTAGAATCTATCCACACACTTTCACCTAATCTAGATTCACTCTATCTACCCTCAATGTGTGTAGTTTGGGGTACCACCCTCTCCCATGTTCCATTCCCCAACTGCAGAGGCTGACCCGGGCCGAAGCCAATCAACACATTATATCCCCTCTGGGATATTCTCTCCTAGGCACAGTGATTAGTTCAGGAACAACCACATGGACCCATCAGAGCCAGCAACAGAAAATGAAATTTCCTGAATATCTAAGAAGGATCTTTCACTTATTCCAACTGGAAAGAAACCTCCCAAAAACATACAGGTTGGAGCTACTCCATCTTGCCATCGTGTGGCATACTGAAACCAACACAAGAGAAGACAGAGCCCCACATCCAGCCATGCCTATAAAAGGCCAGATCTAATTCTGAACTTTTCATCTAGGTGAGCAAATAAACTATCTTCTTTCTTAAGTTAGTTTGGGTCAGAATTTTTTTCAATTTCAACCGAAAAAGTCTGGTTGACAAGACCACTATTTATAGTAGTGATCTCCAATATAACACATGAAGGTAATGTAATTAAACAAATGGTCTTCTCTTCTACACAAAGCAAATGGTCATTCTGTTGATAAAGACTGGTTTTGTATAGCACCCACTACACTGTACCAATAGTTTAAAAGGTTTAAGTGTTGTGATTATATTGCTAACTCTCTATAAATAATTAACCTTCTCTGCTATTCAGTCTCATACAATGAATAATCTATAAGCAATATTCAGAATCAATGCTATATATACTACACTACACAAAGGCGAATGTAAAAGGAAGAGGTGTGGGCGACTCAGCCCAGATAAAGGGCTAATACACACAATTCTGCCTGCTGTTTAAATAAATGCAGTTGGATTAATTCACTATCAGATTTATAATTAGTCATGGGTATGAAAAGAAGAATGATTAAAAACAAATGAAGACCATTTTAGAAACTTACAAAAAAATTTACAAGATTACATACAATTGTAAGGTAAAGAACTTTAAAAACCTATCCATTCATTGCTCAAAGAATTTTATTTACTAATACTTTTCCAAATATGTAAAATTATATACTCATGATGAATTATAGTTTACTGTGAATGTTGCCAATTAGAACTCCCAGCAAACAGGTGTTCACTGTTTCGCTAAAAGAGAAGCATGTTTCAGTTCATTTCTGAGGTGGATTTATTCTATTCCAGTAATGTGATCCAGATTTGAAATGACCTCTTTAAAACTGTAGGATATTAGGCCAAAGGGCATCCCTCCCATAAGAAAATAATGCTAAGGACAATCTAACTCACACCCTTACAAGAACTTTAATTCAACTTGGACTAATACTCTCTGTGTTAGGGCCTTTCACCAATGGCAAAATTACAAAATGGTAAAATTATAACCATTAAACTGTGTTCATCTCACAGATCTGATTCACTATAGCATGAAACTCATTAGCAAATATTCTAAATAAAAAATGCAAAAGATGATTAAATTAACATACATATAGGTCAAAAAGTTAATTAATTCAGCCGGGCTCGGTGGCTCAGCCTGTAATCCCGTGCCTTTGGGAGGCTGAGGTGAGTGGATTGTCTGAGCCCGCGGGTTCGAGACCCGCCTGGGCAGCGAGACCGCATCTCTACAATAAATTAAAAAAAAAAATCAGCCAGGCATGGTAGCATGCGCCTGTAATTCCGGCTACTTGGAAGGCTGAGGCAGAAGGATCGCCGAAGCCCAGCAGGTCGAGGCTGCAGTGGCCGGGAGCGGCCACTGCACTCCAGTCTGGGTGACAGAGTGAGACTCCAACTCAAAAAAAACAAAAAGTTAATTAATTCAAATTAAATGTATTAATATTGCTACCATTTATTTAATAAATACCCAGTCTCATGGTTAGCTAGTTGTGTTTGGGGAAGATCAAAGATCAAAGAAGAAATTCATACTTGCAAAAGGAAATATGACAAGGAAAAACATATTACTGATCCCATTCCAAATAACTTGATATGTTAGATAAAATTCGATTCATATTACAGATTTTAAAAAGTCATAACTTAGCTTAAAAATTTTAAATATACTAGCAATCATTTTACAAGTTGACAAAGTATGCCATTCTTCACTCTAGAAAATAATGTTATTTATTTTATCAGAGAACAAAAACACTTTTTTTCTTAAATTAATTGTGTCTCTATACATAGATTCTCCTATCATTCACTATTACGATCTCAAAAAACTGCATGATCTAAATGGATATATTTGTATACAATTTACTGAAGGCTTCCATTATTGAGTGTTTAACCTAATAATACTTCCAGAATTCAGCATGATTTGGTCATTTTAAATTTTTAGAATTAAAAAATAAGAAGAAAATAAACGAATGAAAAGAATTTCTGTGACTTATTTCCCATGAAAGCCACTTGATATAATTCAACTCAGGGCACTGATATAGTTTATTAGCAGGAAAGGAACAATTCTCCCACCTGTCTATGAATAATTAAAACAATACTGGAAGCACATGACCCCCTCCTCTAGCAATATCTTCCATCCTTCTCCAAACAACCAATTTTGCAAAAGAGCCCCCATTTCTTTATCTCCCCTGAAGGCTCTATACCAGGGGTCAGCAAACATTTTCCGTAAAGAGACAGATAGTAAATATTTTTGTTTTTGTGGGCCATTTGGTCTCTATCACAACTACTCAACTCTACCACTATAGTATGAAAGCAGCCATAGACAATATGTAAATGCATGGACATGGTTGTGTTCCAATAAAACTTTATGTACAAAACCATCAGTGGGTAGATTTGACCCAAAGGTAGTAGTCTGCCAATGTGCGCTCTATTCCAAGGTTTATTCTAATCAGACTTTTCCCGGTGCTTTGATTTTCTGCAATGGTTTTCATTACCAATCACGAACCAATGACATAACTTTATTCACAAGGCCAGACTTCTCAGCTCCAAACTTAACCTACTCATTGGCAAGCCTACATGTGTCTCATAGGTTCAACATTTTTCTAAAATAAAACTCAAAATGTTCTCTTTCAGACATACTTCTCACCACAGTTATGACATTACCATTCATGAATTTATTTCTGCAAGAAACCCGTTATTCTTTAGGAGTTAGAATCATTGAAAAGTGGTCTGGGCCTCAGTTAATTCTTGCCAAGAGGTTGCTAAAGTCTTAAGTACAAAACAATGATTAATACACTGTTTTCTCTCTAAATCTAAGGTACACAGCGCCACCTAATGGGAAAAACAAGCCACCATACACTACAAGTAAGACTTTGTCACAAAGAATTATTTACCTGAGGCTGAAGCAAAACAACCAGGAATGTGGGGAGACCAGATTGTGCTATAAATGACATTTTCATGGCCTCTAAAGGTGCAAAGAGATTTTCCAACAACTGGATCCCACTACAAACAAATGAATAGATAAATTACTTAACAGAGGTAAATTTAAATTTATGTTTTTATATATATACTACATATAACAATAAACTATCTATATTTATAGATACACATACTATATATACATATCTCAAGGATTTTCAAATATTTATTTTTTATATAAAACTAGATGGCATTTAAGGGGTTATTATTTTTTTTAAAAAAAGAAAATCAATTGTCCAATTGTAAAACTACAAAAATATATTTGGAAAATAAAAACAAATCCAGTGGAGGCTCTGGAGAAGGGAGGGATTGATTTTTGAATACAGTAACACTGACATACCAATTTGACGGTTTGATCCCATGAGCCAGACACCACAAACTGTTCACCTCTGGTTTGGCTCCAGTCAACACTATATACCTAGAAACATTGTAAAGGATTTAGAAAGCAAAAGAGTATCAAGTTCAATATTATTATATTCAAACAACCAATTTTATATCAAGTTCAATATTATTATATCATTTTTTTCTTTATAACAGTGATATCCAGTTAGAACAACCAATGTACTATGTCAAAACATCAAATAAAGTCCTACCCATCTCAAAAAGGTATCTGAGAAATGAAAAGGTGATCTTGCCCATTCCTCCAGACTAATCCTTACAGAAAAGCTTCCAAACTGCTTTAATAGAATTCCACAGGATATTTCCAAACCTTCTTCACTAAAATAAATTATACATATTTTTAAAGCTACCAACTTTACCACTGTTTGCAGCACCATGAAGAAATGTCAAAGCAGATTAGAAAGTTAGTCATCTAAAAAAGCTTGCTGGGTCAGTGTTTATCAGAAAGCATTAAAATTCAATTAATATGGCTATCTGCCCTTTCTTAGAAAAAGCTTGCAGGAACCAGGTGATCCCTTCAGATCTCTTGGTAAACAGCTTTAGTTATCCAATGCTGCTATTCTAATTTATGCTTCACTGCTCTTACTGAATCATTTCAAATGAACCATCTGAAAACTTTATGGAAATATCTTTGTTTCATTTTATACAACAAATTATACACAGTTAAAATCAACAAAACATGTGCATAGCTGTACTTTATGAAAGTAGTCCTGACATGGTCTTGAGTACATGCCATTAAAAGTGATCAGTCAGCAGGTTATTTTGAATCTTAGGACTCCCACACACATGCAGGAAGTGTAAGTGTCTAGGTTTTCTGTGGCTTAAGCATGGTTTACTTGCTCTGCAGCCCAGTGCTATGCTGAGCCACATGGAGCCCAAGGGGGAAAAAAAATTAGTACTTTAAATAAATATTGATCTTGTCTTTATTTAAAATTTTGATGGTTTGTCACTTGTACGCAAAATCTAACAAAGTCCAACTTAAACAGTAAAACTGTTTGCTAGGGGCTGCGAGCTAAGGGAAATGGGGAAATGCTGGTCAAAGAGTATAAACTTTTAGTTATACAATGAATAAGTTCTAATTAGAGTTACATACTGTAACCATAATTAAGAATAATGTATTGAATACTTGAAATTTGCTAAGAGAGTAGATCTTACATGTTCTCATTTCACACACAAAAATGGTAACTATTCAGGTTGTAGATATGTTAGTTAGCTTGTTTGTGGGACTCATTACTCAAAGCACACTTATATCAAAACACTATTGTACACTTTAAATTTATACAACTTTTATTTGCCAATCATAACTCAATAATCCTGGACAAAATTTTAATAAAATTATGCTAAGCTCCAAAAAAAGAAAGAGTGAAATAAAATAAAATATTGAAATTTTGTTCATCATGAATGTTTTGCATTAATTTTATTTGTAAAACTACTGCATTAGCAGATTATTTACCCTGATTACCAGGTGTTTTGGAGCCCCCTTAAATTAAATTGTGTACCCAAAGTGAGTGCCTCATATACCCCACCCTAGTCCTGGCCCCACTGCTGCAAATGAGGGAAGAACTTTAGACTTTACAGGTCATTCAGTCACTGTCCTAACTATTAAACTCAGCCCTCGTAGCACACAAAGCAGTCATAGCCAATACTTAATGAATGAATGTGGTTGTTTTCCAATAAAACTGTATTTAAAAATCAAACAACAGGCCAGATTTGGCCATGACCCACAGTTGCAGTTTGCCAACCCCTGCTCTAGACTGACATACACAGTAAAAATAAAAGTAGCAAACCATTATTGAATGCTTTATGTGCCAGAGGTTGTCATAAGCACTTTATACATTTCAACATGTTTCATCTCTATTTGGGTAGATACTATGACAAGACCCAGACAGGGTAAATAACTTGTCCAAGTCCTCAATACTCATTAATTGCAGAGGTGAACTCTGAATCTGCAGGACCTAATCACTGAGGCCGTCTACACTGTATGTGGCTTGAGGGCACTGCTGAATCAGAACTTCTGGGTTACCCTGAGCTTTGGTATCAAGGAACTAAAGCCCTACCCCTTTCTGATATCACCCTTTATCAGAGCTACATTTGGGTCCAGATTGAGTCCACTGTGTTTTCATTCCATATCCAAGAACTTGTGAATTCCCATTTTTCTGTCAAGACATGGCTCCATTACACCCTCTGTTTAAAAAAAGAAAAAAGCCTCCTTTGCTGAGCCTTTCAATGGTCATATGCCGCCTTCTGTGTACTCTAACAGCAGCTTGTACCTACTTCTAACTCAGTATTTACCATATTTTACTAAAAATAACATTAAATAACTGCCATACCTGCTAGATTTTGGAGACCCCCTCAAAAGCAAACCATCTTGTACATCTCAATAAAATAGACACTCAACTGTTGGTTAAAGCAGTCAGTCAAATTTACCTTCACGATCTGTATCATTTCTAACTAGGTACACAGAACTACTAAATAAAGACTAGCATCCTTAGCTCAGCCTCCACTGCCTCCAAACACTTCTAGTGTGATGAAGGAGGTGATCCCTTATGACTTCTCACCTTTTAAAATCACCGGAGCCTCCACTGGCTCAGAGAGAATCCAGCCCTAATGAGAACAAAAGATAGGAGGTAAGAAAACTGCACTGATGGCACTGTTGCTGCCAGCTGTCTTCTCTGCCGCATAACAAAGTAGCAAGCATTAGGTCTCTAGGACAAAGCTAAGGATAGGCCATACACAGTAGAGAGGTTAAAAATGGGATGATAAAGGTAACTCAATCAGTCAATACTTTGTTTTACTGTGTTTAAAATATTAGGACATAGGGAAGGAACTAACAGGCTAGGGCACGGTAGCTCACGCCTGTAATCTCAGCACTTTGGGAGGCCAAGCGGGAGGAATGCTTGAGCCCAGGAGTTCAAGACCAGCCTGGGCAACATAATGAGATCTTGCCTCTACAAAAAATAGCTGAGCATGGTGGTGCACACTTATAGTCCCAGCTACTCAGGGGCTGAGGCAGGAGGATTGCTTGAGCTCAGGAGGTTAGAGCTGCCGTGAGCCGTGATCATGCCACTGCACTCTAGCCTGGGTGACAGTGAGACTCTGTCTTAAAAAAACAAACAAACAAAAAAAAAACTATACACATAAGTACAAAAGGGTGCTGGAATAAAAGATTCAGCTTGATGCCCAGAAGAGAAGAATTTAAGCAGGGCTTTGAGGACTGGCTAAAATGTCAACAGCTGGAAAGCAAAGATGAAACAGTAAACAAAATTCCTCCAAGAATGTACAGCACCCCAGGAATTGAGGTAGTGAACACTGCAAGATAACACCAAGGTTTTGTGCCTGAGGACTGTCAGTGATGATGGCATTAATAAAAGTAGAAGACTGGAGGAAAGAAGATGATACAATTTTACACATAATTAGTTTGAGGTACAAAGAGACAGCCAAGTGGGAATGTCTTGTACAAACAGGGTTTGGGTATTAACCCCAGGCTCTGAAAAAAGCCCACAGCCAGAGAGATGTTTGGAAGACAGCTGAAAAGGGATAACTGGATTCCATTATTCCATCCTCAAATCAATTCATTCATCTATTCAACAAATGCTTACTAAACACCTACTATATACTAGGCACAGGGGGGCAGTTACAATGTTAAACAAGATGAGCCCCAATAGATCTTACATTTTAGCAGGGGAAGGAAAGCTATAAGTAAATGTATAATTTCGAGTTGCAATTTTAAAAGATACAAGGAAAAATAAAGTAGAATAAGGAACTAGAAAACAATGACAAGAGTAAGGAGTCACTTCTCAAAAGAATGGGCAGGAGAGGTTTCTATGAGCAGACACGTGAGCATAGTAAAACTGAACTCTGCAGATCTGAGAGGAAAAGCTCAGGATTAGAGAGAACAGGGAAAGATCCTGAAGCAAGGAGCAAGCTTGCCATATCCGAGGAACAGCAAGGTTGAAGAGTTAGGAGGGTAAGATCCTAAAGAACCATGGCCCAAAGTTTGTATACAATTCTCTTACGAGGTTGCAATGATCAACTACAAACTGACACTTGTTTCTTGTTCACCTCCAATCCATTATCCACACTGCATGAAAAATAACCTTTATAAAATACACATTAAATGCCACTCTCCCCTGTACAAAGCCTTTCCATGGCTGCATACCATGTGGCTCCTGAACTTACAATCTTCACTCAACGTGATCTAAGAGTCATCCATGCCAATTCATATTACCCAAAGATCAAAATCATATAAAACTATACATGATTTATGGATGCATACATATGTAGCAAAAATAGAAATAAAAACGAAAAGTAGATATAAACAGAAAATTCAGGATAGTGGTTACTCCTGGGAAGAAGAGAGGAAGGAAAAACAAAGCGGGGAGAGGAAGGCTAGGAATAGAAAGGGTAGCTAGGGGACTCCAATGGCATAGGTAACGCCTCATTTCTTAAGCTGGAGAGTGACTATGCAAGTGTTCAATATATCATTTTTATATCTTACATATATTTTATATGTATGAAATATTTCATAGCTTTCTAAAAATCTGCTGTCTTTTCACTGATCTTAACACAATGGCCAAAATGCTGACAGCTCAGGTCCACAGATTCTGTCTTTCCCTTCAAGTGTGCTTATTTCTTTGCCTCTAACTACTGCCCTGTCCTCTGCACCTGAGTCATTCATTCTTACTCTCCCTTTTGGCTCAAGGATGCCTTCCCTGCTCCTTCCCCAGATCCTCCCCTCTCATGGCACTGTACAATCACAGTACTTAGCATATTATAGAAAAGCAGCAGGCTAAGCTTCCCTCCCGAGAGAGGCAAGGACTATGGAAGGGCAAGGATATGCCTGATTTGTTCTTCCTCCCAGCTAGTCCTGGCGTAGTACCTTGCACAGAGTAAGTTAGTGAAAGTTTTGGGAATGACTGAAGGGACAAACAGATTTCAGTGGAAAGCGTATCTCATAACCATCTACTCTTCCATTTCCTCCCTATTGCCAACTTTCCCCCTCTACTCCCACTAAAATGG